CCCCCACTAACTATTGTCTGCTGTAGATTATTCTTTGCACTAGATGCTGACGGTAAGAGCTGGTTTTTGAGACGTATGTCCTGCAATCCTCTGGTCGACATCACCTCAACGTCGCCAAGCGTTCAGCTGGCAAGGAAAAGTTGTGTGTTAGCCGAGGAATAGGCCGCACCCGGATCAGATTAGATCGGTAACGTAACTCGGCTGCTGATGCGGTTGTTACGTACCGTCTCATTGCCGTTGTCAGGCCACCGGCTGAATCCATCTTGGATCATGCTATCCAGGACAGTATCCAGGAGGGGTGTACCTACGAGACGTTCAACATCTGATGACCTGGACGTACTATGATAATCAAAACGAGAAATCTACAGAGGTTGCAGATACCGTGTCTCCCAGTCGGGATAGCTTTTCCACTCATTTGCCTCCCATTTCCTACCGACTCGAGTTAAATAACCCGCTAGCTGCAGATCCAAACTACCCCGCGGAGAGACTGAGTGGGAGGGGTCCGTTCGCTTGAAGTACCCGATCTCTTGGCACAGCAGCGAATAGTAATGTTCTTATAGACTGTAGAATTGACTGAACAAGCCTATCGGACGCTCTGGCTTTGCAAAGACCCCCCGGATGGGAATTGAGTCAATTGACGCCCCAGTGTTGTGGGATAAACGTTCCCGAACGGTCGCTGGAAGTGGACGGGTATTGTTACATACCGTGGAGAGAAAACTGGAACCGATGGATGGACCTGTACGAGACATTTCCTCACCGAGTGGCAACCAGAAAAAGTCATGCTTTCATTCTTGAATAATTGTTCCCTACGATTTTTCGCCTCGCATTCTTCTCCCCTATTTGAATCCGTCATTGGTAGCTTTTGCACGTGCCCTATCTCATCGGTTTCTTTCCTCTTTTTTCTTTCTCCAGGATTTCCCCAACAACTTCCTCTCCTCTCTTAACCATTCTTGCTCTTTTGCAAAATCTCAATTCTATTATCCAGTTACAGTCTCATACAACCCGGGAGAATCTTTTCTGACACGTACAGACCCTAGCGCATTCGGAACCGTCCTCCCGGCGCCGTCTTGCCCCAGGCACATTATCCATCCATTGTCCTGCCACCTCCCTAAAACAGCATCGCTCTGATCCTCCGGGACTTCTTTCATTTCCGATCTGCTTGCTCCCTGCATCAGTCGTCCGTCCTTATCTGAATGCCCACTCGCTTTGCGGTGTCCACAGGTCTAGTGTAGACCGTCTTCAATTGCCACTACCTTTGCTCATCCCTTTTCGTTGGGCCCTCCTTTTTAATTCCACTGTCGACCAGCAATTACGTTTGCTCGATCCTTCAATCCGCCCAACATCTTCTCTCTCCGCGCTTTGTTTTAATATCGTCACACGCTCAGAATTGGCGGGCAATTCTTTCGCTCTATACACCGCTTCACAGAGATATAATGGGTAAATTATACTTTCTTTTCTGCTTCCATTCTTCCGTCGCTATCCCTACGCCACCAACTCTTGCGGTCAATTTACAATGGCCCAGTTCTTGACAAATGACTGACCTTTCTTTGTGTATGTAGTTCACGCCGTACCTCAGCCGCCTTCATCAAGGCTGGCGACGCCACAGCCTCCCCTTGCCTCCAGTGGTGACCACAAGAGCATCCCCGTATCGTCGACATCTCACCCCGATAACCCTGTCCCCGAAGAGCCCCGTGGAGTTCGGGCACTGTCTGTAACCGATATCAATTTCAGCATCTCGTCACCATCATTGCGCGATACCGAATCCACCGGTTCCGAATCACCATCGCCTGCCCAGACGCCCGACACAGAGATCTCGTCCGATGCGGAAGAATCATTGAAGAAATCCTCCGTCGAAGATGGCTCCGAGAAGCCCCGTCGGGCCTCCACTGTTCTGATCTCTCAGAACTCTGAGGATATGAGAAGAATTTTGGAGAATGTCGGCGTTGCTGGCACTCAAAAGCTCCAGCCTCTGTGCTGTGGTGGTGGTTGCTGTCGCAGCCAGCCTTTGGTCAACATTCCTACGCCATCGGTTGGAGCCAATGTCGTCACTCCTCCGCACAACAAGGCCTATGAGAGCCTCAAGCTCAATGTCGCTTACCTCACCTTGGACAGCGAATTGACGAACCTTGTGCCTCTACCAGAGAAGACGGTCTCTTTTTCTGCAATCCCGAAATCGGCAGTGGATCTGCAGCTGGGTTCTGCAAAGCACCCGCCTCCTTTTGTCCAACCTCATCCCCCGTATGACGTCTTCCGTGCGCCTTTGCACCATGCCCGAGAATTGACCAAGTCCGGTGCCGAGAAGCGTACATATCATTTTGACATTGACGTAACAGACTACCCTGCCGAGAGTGGTAGCGTCGATTTCGTCGTGGGTGGCGCCATCGGAGTATGCCCCAAGAACAAGGATGAGGAGGTCGATGATATCTTCAACCTACTGGGCGTGCCCAAGTCGATTCGTGACAAGAAGATCACCGTGCGCACCACGAAGGGTCGGTGGCCCACGATCTGGGGAGACGATCAACCTCGGGAGCTAATCACCACCCGGCGGGAATTGCTGAACTGGTGCTCAGACATTCAGAGCTATGCACCCACCAAGGGTCTATTCCGACTGCTCGCCGAGTATGCCAGTGAACCAAATGAGAAGAAGATCCTTTCGTTCCTCGCCTCCGCTCAGGGACAAGGTGCCTTCTGTGACCTGCGTACTAGCTCGCACATCACCGTCTCTCAGCTGTTGCACGCTTTTCCCTCATCTCAACCTCCCCTGGATCATCTTCTCTCTGTCTTGAATACCCTCATGCCTAGGTTCTACTCCCTTTCTCAGGACCCGCTTCTCTCATGCAAGGATAAGGGTACCCAAACCCGTCGGTTGGTCGAGGTGGCGGTGACTGTTGCCGAATCGGACGATTGGAAGGGAGGCATGCGCACGGGCGTTGGGTCTGGATTCCTCGAGCAGCTCGCACGCCAAGTGATCGAGGCGGAGAAGAAGGGCATTGACCCTTCCACTCTTGACCTCCATGTCCCTATGTTCCGCGGCTTGATGGCCAACCCGCTGGCCAAGCAATTTACTTCCGACGGCCCTATGCTCTTGATTGGTGCCGGTGTTGGCATCGCTCCCTTCCGCGGTTTTGTACAGCGACGCCTCCAGTCGGCCAACTGCGCTAACAAGGTCTGGGTCCTGCAGGGCGTCCGTGACTCCCTCTTGGACGAGCTCTACCGGGGCGAATGGGGCGTTGATGAGGAGAAGGTGCGCACGGTAGTGCAAAGCCGCCGTGGGGAGAGCAAGTATGTTCAGGAAGAGGTGCGCCATCAAGCTGATCTGGTCTGGTTTGTCATCAATGCTCTGGACGGCCGTGTCTTCGTCTGCGGTAGCGGTAAGGGGATGGGCGAGGGCGTTGAGGACGCTCTCGTCGATGTTGCCATGGCCAAGGGCAATTTGAATATGGAGGAAGCGAAACAGTTCTGGGCGAACAAGAAGGAAGCCGGACAGTACATTGCCGTAAGTTCTCCGCCCGCAATGTCCGCTTATTGTTTCATGGATGCTAATCACAAAACAGGAAACCTGGTAATGTTCTGAAATCGTGGGTTAGATTGACACCAACCGTATCACGTGTTGATATATTCGCATATGTATACCGCACTGGTTTGTTTTGCTTTTGTTCTATCTTGGGTATCTCTGTTATAATGTTGCTTTAGCGAGGTGGGCTTTGTTTTCAAACATCTGTTCACGGTTGATCCGGAATCTCTGTCATCATGGAACTAAACATAGAATTAGTTGGTAGCAAATACCTAATGCACATTTTACAATCACAGTTGCTTAGTGTACCGTGCAGAAAGGAGCACATGACCACGAGTCAAGATATATTCTCCATAGTCTATACCCACACGAATCATGGAACTTGGAACAAATCTTTGCTCGCCAGATTTGTCCCTGAAAAAGGACGCTAAGAAAAGGTTGTTCCACTTTTTTCTTCAAGATCAAGAGACTTTTAGGCTTTCAGCTGCAGTCTAGCCTCTAGCTATCTCGGCTAAGATGTCTACAATCTGTCGAATGTGGATATTAGCGTACGGGACTATGCAAAAGGCTTTTGGCCACCATGAAGGAATCCCCTGAACCGCTCAATCACCTTCCAATTCAGCCGCAGCTCGGCCTTTCTTGCCTGGCTATTTTCAGCTCTCGTATAATAGAGGCTTAAACGGTCTAGCTTAAGACGACAACGATGGGATGGATTGGGACGGATTGGGGCCTTCCGCCGGCTTCATCATCTCTTAAAAGCTGAAGCCGACCATCCATTCCCTGATTTAGTCACTCTTTCCTTCTCAGTTTCTCTTCACCGGTCTCTCGTTCTTCTGTTTGCTGTCCTCTCTGGCTTCAACTGTCAGGTGGACGAGCCGACCGACGGTCCTTTCCGCCTCATTTTCTTTCTTATTCAGACACACACTCGCTTGCCACAATGCCTCGCTTACCGTCTCTCGTTTCGCTTCTGTTGTTTTCGCGCTCCTTTCTTCCCGGTGTGTCGGCTGAAGGGACCGAGGTGGTGACATGCGCGACATCCACGCCCAATCCCCTTGCAAATCCGTCATTTGAAAGTGGTATCACCGGCTGGGGATTTGCCTCGGGAACCACTGGCAATGTTATCTCAGGCGATGCAGCTGACGGCTCTCTATATGTGTGAGACACGACCGTTCTCAAGGACCCTCAACGCTTGGATGCATGCTAATCATTCTGGTAGTGAGACGAGTGCGACCAGCACATCGGTAACGGTCTTTCTATATCAGAGAAGTAGCTCGTTCATTACGAATGGCCAATATACCGGATCATTCCAATATCGCATCAAGCCGACTTCCTCTCACGCCAGTATGACTTGCTATATCAAGGCGTACATTGACTCTTTCACCACCGCCGGCCTCGTCGGAAGTGCTACCGTGTCTGTCTCTTCAAGCACCGTTGGTTGGGATACCCTCTCGTTCAGCTATACTCCTACCACCGCCGGAACACACACCTTTGAGATCTATGGCTATTGTACCGGCGCCACCCAGTATGCTGGAGCCGCTATCGATTTGGACAATGTGCAATTTGTTGGACCTGCGGTCACCTCATGTTCGACCCAGACCATCACGATTACCCCTACGCAACTCCCAACATCCACCGTGATTCCAACCACCACTTCAATTCAGACATCCTCCTTGCAAGTGCCATCTCCATCTGTGCTCTCATCGTCGATGGTTACTTCCCCCACGCCATCGGCTGTGACACCAGTGGTGATTACCAGCAGCAGCACACCCTCGTCGCAGGTCTCTGTGATTGTGCCTTCTCTTAGCACTGCTTCTTCGCCCAGCGCTGCTGCTCCATCTAGTGCTGCTATTCCGAGAATCAGCTCTTCATCCGCCGCCGTCAGCTCTCTGACTCAACGTCCTTCTACCCCTGCCGCCTCTCCTTTCTCGACTATTGCAGTCTCGGTTCCTTCTTCAAGCGGAGCAGTGACTCTGTCTGTTTCTTCGTCCCCTGTGTCTGCATTGACCTCTCAGATTGCTGTTTCTGCACCCAGCTCTGTGGCTGTTATTTCCCCAGTCTCTTCCGCTTCTCCAGTCATTCCTTCTTCATCCGTTGCAGTTATTGCATCTTCCAGCAGCGGTGTCGTCGCTTCTGGCGCTCCCTCCACAAGAAGAACAATCTACGTCACTGAGACTATGACCGTCTCGGAAACAATTTGCTCCACAAGAGCGTCTCAAACTCAACCAACTGCCATCGTGACAACCACTGGAACTTCTGACCAAGGCGGCTCGAGCGGAACCGAGGGCGGAAGCACTACATCAACCATTCTCAGCACTCGCACTGCAACCATCACCGCTTGCCCATCGAGTGTGTCGGACTGTCCTGCCTCTGCAAAGAGTACTTTTGTGACAACCGAGACTTTGGTGGTCTCTACAACTATCTGCCCTGTCACAATGACCCAGACTCAACCTACCACTGGTGCCTCGCTTACAGGAGGATCCAACACCGGTCTGCCCGGCGGTGAAAACGGCCGAAGCACTACCTCGACTGTCTTCAGTACTCGTACTGCCACCATCACGGCGTGCCCTTCCACCGTCCCCAACTGCCCCGCTTCCGCAAAGAGCACCTTTGTTACTACCGAGACTCTGGTCGTCTCAACGACTGTGTGCCCCGTGACTGCTTCTGCCACGGCCCATGGCACTAGTGGTGTTTCCACAGCCACAGCCCTTCCGACAGCCAGCAATGGATCGACTTCTGGCTCCAGTGCGGCTTCTGGCTCCTCATCTGGGCCTGGCGTTGTCTCGGGCTCGGGCTCTACTACTGGCTCCAACTCTGGGTCCGATTTGGGTGTTTCTTCTGACACTGGTACTAGCAAGCCTAGTGGTTCTAATGCTGGTTCCTCTACTGGCTCTTCTGCCGGAACCAGCTCCGGCTCCGGCGCCACCTCTGGTAACAGCACCGCTGGCACTAGCTCTGGCAGCAGCTCTTCTATCGGCTCTACCTCTGGTAATAGCTCTGCTGGCACTAGCTCCGGCAGTGGCTCTGCTTCCACCGGCTCTAGCTCTGGCAATGGTTCTTCTGCTGGCTCCAGCTCGGGCAATGGCTCTGCTTCCACCGGCTCTAGCTCCGACAGTGGCTCTTCTTCCGCCGGCTCCAGCTCTGGCAATGGTTCTTCTGCTGGCTCTAGCTCCGGCAGTGGCTCTGCTTCCGCCAGCTCTAGCTCTGGCAATGGCTCGCCTGCTGGCTCTAGCTCCGGCAGTGGCTCTGCTTCCGCCAGCTCTAGCTCTGGCAATGGCTCGCCTGCTGGCTCTAGCTCCGGCTCTGTCTCCAGCTCTACCTCTGGTAGCAGCTCCACTACTGGCTCCAGCTCGGGCAATGGCTCTGCTTCCACCGGCTCAAGCTCCGGCAGTGGCTCTTCTTCCACCAGCTCTAGCTTCGGCAATGGCTCTGCTTCCGCCGGCTCTAGCTCTGGCAATGGTTCTTCCGCCGGCTCTAGCTCTGGTAGTGGCTCTTCCGCCGGCTCTGGCAATGGCTCTTCTGCCGGTTCTAGCTCTGGCTCTACCTCTACCACCGGCTCCGATAATGAATCTGCTTCCGGTGCTAGTGCTGCTTCTAATTCTGGTTCTGCCTCTGGCAATGGCTCTTCTTCCGGTGCTAGTACTACCTCTGGATCTGCCTCTGGATCTGCCTCTGGATCTGCCTCTGGATCTGCCTCTGGATCTGCCTCTGGATCTAGCTCTGATACTGCTCCTGTCACTGTCAGTGGTGTCTCGCCAGTGTCTGAGTCTGGAGACCATACTGGAAGTGAATCTGAGCAGGAGGGAACCACCTACAAGGCACCTAGCTCAGCTAACTCTCAGACCATTGGTGCTGCTGGGGGCAAGAACATTTCTGCTCCTGCCTCGTCTAGTACTGGCTTCCAAAGGATCTACAGCAGCACCCCGACGGCTGCGTCTTCCACTGCTCAGGTGACCGCAGTCTCAACGGCGTCTAGTGCAGCTGGTGCTCTTTTCACCGGTGCGGCTTCCGCCATGCACATGACAAATGGGCAAATGATTGGATCCCTTGCCGGTGGCTTGGTCTCTATGCTCCTCATGTTTGTCTAAGGAGCACGCCACTATGTAGCCCAGACACTTTTATCAGTAACTGGCTCTCCGAGACCAGACACCTTTGCCTGTCATCGTCTGCTTGTTCATACTTACTATAATAATCTTTGTACAAAGATGAATGTATATTCATGTTATGAAATAATATCTCCTAATGAAGCGATATGATCCAGTCTGTTCATTGTAAGTGGCACTGAGGATATGCCAAGGTAGATGACACTGGAGATGCCAATGCAGCGCTGAGAGGCAGCGGTCGGTGAGAAGACTGAGGTACCAATGATGATATTAACCCTTGCTCATTGGAAATATCAAGACCTTCGTCTTACTCACGATTTTCTCTTCGCCAACCAATCAGAGTTCCTGTCTTCACTCATGATTCAGTGTTGTCTTGGGTGTATCAAGCTCACCATACACCACACATTGGAAACCGCATCATCACGATCCCCGAAGTAGAGTAGTAGCCAGATGATAACAATGAGATCGATACTGTCTGCCAGTAGACCCACTGCCTTCCGCGCAGTCTCCCAAGGAGAAATGTACTTCTACATCCCCAATTAATTCCAGGATACTAGGTACGGGTAGGTTCCCCGGCGCAAGGAAGCCAAGACCGGCTGGGGCTGGCATTTCAGCAGCGTGCTCATGCTCGGCTAAATCTATCGAGCGCATCTAACCACCTGCGCGGACAGAGATCGAGTCGTTGACTGTTGTGCGACAACAAAATGTCAATATGGGGTAGAGGGAAGGGTTAGACCAAACAAGGAGTGCGGAAGTCGTGATCACGGTATCTTGAAGTCTGGACTTCGGAGATCCCGGGGTGGACTTTGATGGCCTTTCTGTGAGCCGGAATGTGTGTGTATATATATGTATATACATATATATGTGTGTGTGTGTGTGTGTGTGCGTGTGTGTGTGTGTGTGTGCGTGTGTGTGTGTGTGTGCGTGTGTGTGTGTGTGTGTGTGTCAAGCTGCTGCTCCTGCCGTAGACGTCACGGGCAAAAGATATCTCGACGGGGGATCGGATGTGGTTCACCCGTCTATATCGAAGTATTGTATACACCAAGTCCCACGGCGTGGGTGGTGAAAGACCCGATAGCGCACGTAGTGTTAGTTTTGTATTCTAATGAGAGTATTTGATGGGAAGTAGCTTGCTAGTTCTATCGTGCGTATGAGGTAATCTAGCAGGCTCTATCAGCATCTGTTATCTCTTGGATACCTGGTGACTAGGTAGGAAGGAGCTTGGTATTCAACTGCTACATATATCGGATTCTAGTCAGGTCGTTGGCCGGGTATCAATCAGGCGCGAGCGAGATCGGGTTGGATAGTAGTAGTAGTAGTAGTAGTAGTAGTAGTAGTAGTAGTAGTAGTAGTAGTCGTCGCTGTGGGGATATATTTGGGGATTATGAGGAAGGAAGGGAAGGATTGCTAACTGGGATGGTAGCAGAATATGAGCATCATCTTTTCACATCCATTGTCATGATGGCACCTCGATAACCACCACGCCCAAAGCATTAATCAGGATTAGGTGACATCAAGATGGAATCCATCATGGGCAGAGTGGTACGTGCGCACGCTCGGTGGTTTGAAGCCCCTGCCTGTCACATACTGAGTACTGGCAGAGCGGCCTGCCCGTGGCCTAGCTGAGCGAGGTCTTCGTGCCCGACGCTTGACAGATTTACAATGTTGATGCTCTTGCGATCGATCCTTCCTCGCGTGTTTCAGATCTCCAGGGGAGGAGATGGAAATCAAGGAGGATTGCCCGATTAAAGCCGGAGGCCTAAGAATAGACTTGCAGATGCGATGACTGGTAAGGTGCTGTGATGACCGTCTCGCAAATGGTGATCGTCCGCCTGTAGAGCCACTTACACATCTACGCATATTCTTCCGCAGACTGTCAACGGCAACAATCTGAAGCAATGTGGTGGGGGGTCGCATCAAACCACCCTTCGAAGGATCACTGATGCTACCAGTGACAACCAGAAGGGGGAGTTGGGGGAGGCAAGGAAGCAAAACAGGTTGGAATCTAGAGTCGCCAGCCACTTGAATCTACGATTATGATCATCCAGAAACCCCCATACTTCCTCTCTTCCTTCCTTCCCCCACTATCCCGTGTCAGCAGTGACAAGTCCTGGGGAGACAAGACGTGCACGCGGCAGTTTCAGAAGAGTCTCAGAATTTCATGATGCGCACAGATCGAAGTAGCCCCTTTGACGCATCTCAGGACTTTTGGAATTGGCTGGTTCTCGGTTGTTTCAAACTACACACACACGGCATACCTCGAGAGGATCTTAGACGTTTTAGACACAGGAACCAGACCTCCAAACATAGGAGCATCCGTCCCCCATCTCTGGCAGCTCCTCGTCTAATGCTCCGATTTCATCCATGGCCGTCATCTGCGATAGAAGACACACAGAGAGAGAAACGGGTGCCTGATTCGTAGTGGGGAAAAGAGGCTTGCCAACCCCCTCGTGTGAGTAGTATGCAAGTGACTTGAGAATGAGATAAACACGGTGAACTTAGTGCCAGGAACCTTGTAGGGTTGAGCCGGACCGGATGGATCGTACTTCTTTCTCGTATCGAGCCACAATGGAGATTAGAGTTGGAAGCTAAAGCCAAGTGGCTTTTTTCCCACCCCAAAGATTATCATGGACCAACTAAATAACCGTCTATTTTGGACAGCTGCAGGGGAGGGCTGATCGACAATTCATGGCACCCAAGTTCACTAGTAATGCATAAGGGAATCGAACAGCCACTGAAGCCCTTAATGCTCATCTTGACTCAGCGGAGGGTCGGAGGAGGTGAGGGGGGAGGGTCGTTGGAAAATTGGTCGGAACCAAGGCACATCTCGATATGAATGCAACCGTCTCATTATTGTGGCAAACGCGAACGCCGAATGGCGTTCGAATTGCCAACCCTATCTTCCCACTCCCCCCTGAGGGTTCTCTCCGCCGGACCAGTTCATTTGAAGCGGTGGCAGATGACAAGCCTGGCAAGCACAACCACGCCAAAAGCATGGTCTTAGGCCTCAAACAACGGCCGTCAAATCTATTTTGGGGAAGACCTGAAAAAAGACACCAAAAAGAAAAAAAGCAACCAGAGCGAGCCGAAGCAGCCGGACAAATCGTCATGGCAGTCTGGAGGGAAATCCTTCGGATCCGTAGTCCGTAGTCCTTACCACCTGCAGGGGCAACTTGCAGCATCATCATCATCGCCCGTCGATCCTCCGCGTGCATGAAGACGAACTGCTGGGTCCGCAAGGCTTGAAGGGGAGGGGGGAGGGTTTCCAGAGTCGCAGGAGGAACCGACGGGGCGCTATTGGCCAGATCGTCCCCATGGTGTGACTCTCCGTTTACTGCACTCGGAACCCGGTGGTCGAGCTTGGTGATGAACTCCGAAGTTTTTCTTTGCCATGTTCTAGAAAGGTATTGTGTTTGGTGGGGGCGAAAGGCGAAGGACGGGGGATGTCCGTGATCGGTGATGCGGTGGCTTGGGGGAGCGAAGCAGATGGGGAATCGAAAGGCTTGAGTTTGAAACTAGAGATGCAATAGAGTCTCAGGCTATTGAAACGCCATTCTCAACCAGGCAGTTGGTATCTGCGATTGGGTTCGGGACCCAGGGAAAGGGGGGGGGGGGGGGGGGGATGTGGCAGACAAACTGGGGAATCTTCGGGGGATTTTCCCACCGTCGTATCAAACCATGCCGCAGCGGTGGGTGTGGATTGAGGAGGGGGTCAGAGAGAGAAGGAGGGGGAAAAGGCATCTCGTGGGAGAGGCTCAGGAGGAAAATGGAACCTTGAAGCGGGTAAGACATCCTGGAACCGGCGATGATGTCAGTTACGTTCCAGAGAAAAGTTTCTTACTGAGTGCATTCCACTCTTTGAATGGTTGGTTGGATGGGGAACTCGATCCAGATTGGTGAATGGGAGTGGAGGAAGTCCGTGCCAAGACGATCTCCCAAGTAAGGTTGAAGTCAACTGACGATGCTTGTTCCTGTTTCTGTGCAGTGGGCTGGGCTGCACAGTAACTTATACATGTGTATGTACGGAGTAGTGTATAGAGAGGAGAAGAGGAGAAGTTAGCGACTCCTTTTTCCGACTCCGATTCGAGTCCTCTCTCGCCGATGCGGAATGCAACACTTGGTTCCTCCAACCCGTCTGGAGCCGTCCAACAAGCAGTGGTAAAACGGGTGGTGTGCACGACGGAGGTGACAGGCAAGATGAGCCGATCAGCCAGTGCCAGAGTGCCAGTGCCAGTGTCACATCACCCACTTTCCACTTTCTCCTCTTCTGGCAGCGGATCCCAAGAACCGGGAACCAGCGGACGGTGACACGACAGCAAACACCAGAATGACAAATAATTCCTGGCTTCCCTGGCTTCCCTGGATTGTTTGTGTCAACTTTAGTCCACATAGTTAGCATATCATTGGAAGATATGACTTTGACAATAGTGAAAGTCTATTGTTGCTTTTAGTGAGACGTTGAAGTTGCCCAAAGAGGGAAGTCTAGTTTCAGTCCTCCAGTGAATCATCAATTATGCTTTGGCGGTCAAGACGATGCTTCTAGAAGGATTCTACCAAGACGGAGGAGAAAACCAAAATTAAAAAAATAAAAAAATAAAAAAATAAAAAATAAAAAAAATAAAAACCAAGTCGGGATTTCCGACTGCCACTTTCTTCCTCAGAGTGGGTAGGTGTGTTTCTCCTCTTGATTAAATTACCGGCTGGCTGAGTTGAAGAATATGGGTAGCGTTTTGATTGTTTATCTCTGCTATGTGTTTTCGATGATTACTTGAACAACCTTGATTATTGATTTCTTCTCTCTGAATTCTTCGACAGCGATATTTTGCTGAGCAAATAGGGAGGACTACTGGCGCCTTGCCAGATTAGGGCAAGGGGATCTTTTCTGCCCTGCCGCTCTGCAAGATCCAGGCTGGGATCGGCACCCTGGTTCCAATCTCCATCCCTGCACGATCTGTCTGGGATCCTGGTGCGACAGGTGTTAAAAAAAATAAAATAAAATAAAAAAGGAACAAAAATCCACAATCAGAAATATATGTTCTCGAGTAGCAGCCACTAAAGCAAAAACTGCATGAGACTAGACCCAATGCGGTCTCCCGCTGCAGGCTCCGCTCGGAAGTGGCGACTGGGCTGTCAGTTTCGAACCATCACCAGCCTCTCGGCGGCTTGGCTGGACGATGGTGCGCCGATGGCCTGCGTCATCGGTGGCTGTGGTCTGCGTATCGGCAGCTGATGCCACTGCTACGGATTACTCTACTTGTATGTACCCAGGTAATTTAATTGAAGTAATCGAGACGAACACAGCAATGACCCCATTGACATGTCTCCTAACCACTCTCGACCGCCTTCTCCAATACTACTACTATGTATAGACATACGTACTCTGTACAAGCACGATAGCTACACGATGATGATGATGATGATGATGATGATGATGATGATGGTGACGGGTCCAACCGCTGCCCATTCAGGAAGGAGTCAGTCAGTCAGTCCCCGCCCTTTGACTGGTAAGACAGTAACGTTACTACGAGAACTAAGCTACCTAGTACCTAACTTATTGCAATGGTACTGTACTATTGAGTAACCTACCGCTATAACAACAAGGCCACGACTCAGTTCTCCGGTGATCCTCCGTCTCGGTGGGAACGCACGTAAGTTCCGTCATGGTCATGAACTTGACACTTTGCGTTGTTCAGTAAACTTCACCGACACTAGAGCAAGTTTGTATAGCCCCGGCGTCTGTCAAGTACCAACTGACAAATCATCAACGGCAGTTGGAATCGTGAAACTCTGATCTAGCGAAGCCACGAGGGCCGCTCGAATTAGGCTTGCACGCGAAGGATGCGACTGACGAGTGACAAGCGGGCTTGCTCGGTCTAGGGACAGATGGAATCGTGGATAGCTCACACTAAAGTGACTAAACTGCTAGAGTCAAAACGGGGCGGTCTCCAGCAGTCTCCAGCAGGGCCAGCTAAACTTTGACCATTTCCTGGTTCGAACCGAACTCTCCTGTCAATCGACGCGGGGCAGATTGCCCTCTGAAGAAAGAGGACAATGCTCTTTTCAGAAAGGCCCCCGGAGATGGCTGTCACAATTCATCCCAAATTATGCCTTCTTGTGATCGCGCTTAGCAATGTCGAGATGTGGCATCTTCCGATCGCAGCGAATATGCGATTAGAGTTGTGCCTAACCAGATCGCCGGCATGCTCTTCTCGGCCGGCTTGCTGATCTCGGTGCCAAATGGGAGGAGACCAAGCCAAAGTCTGGAGCGATCACTCTCCACGGCCAACACTGCGCCCGCGAAAGAGTCGATGACCGATCGCAATACACAAAGTAAACAAGCCATTGACGCACGATGGCCGTCCGCACGAGTCGGCATGGTTTGGGGATGCGTTGCTGGCGCGAACCTTGCGACTACTCCGTACACTTACTACTAACTAACTTACTAGTTAGTTAGTGGTCACTAAGTGCCTAGTACTCATGCTCGGCTGCTAATCTTAGCTGCTGGCGAACCTCGCGCGCGATTTGACCAACCATCGAGCGAGGCAGTTGAACTCGCTGACGCTCTATCATCCCAGAAGCCCATTGATGACTGATCGGAAATCCTATCTCTCCAGCCCATGGAACGACATGCGTATCCCTGTCGCAGAAGTGACTGACCTCTCCGCCTGCCAGAGAAGGAGCTGAAGGGGACCGCAGTTGATTGGAGTGAACCTGTTCCAGGGGAAAGACCAATGAACTGGGTCGCTTCAAATGGGTGCTTTTCTGATCGTCTTAAGGTGGTGAGTGGGTTACATTATAATAGGCTTGTGACTGGGTGCATCGAGTCAAATAAACCACGCTAAACGTAAGAGGGATTGCGACCGACACTCCATTTTTCAGCTCTGCCTTGTATCCGTGGCAGGATGCCTTCTCCAACCAATGCTCATGACCAAAAAAAAATCAAAAGAAAAAAAAGAAAAGGAAGAAATCACAACCCACTTGGTGAAGATCTTTCATGCATACCCGACCTAGACCATCATGTGGTGTGTTCTCATTGCCTGAGCAAGACTATTGGACCAGTAACCATGGGTCATCTCGCGGTGCTGCCCCTGTCCCCTGTCTCGTCTGCCTGTCATCGACCCATTGTCGGATTGCCCTCATGCGCTTGTCACCACCGAGACTGGGGCTTAAGGTTTGGCCCATGAAGTCAGCGCCTGTCTGTCTGCCTGCCTAACTTGTCTCGACTTACCCGAAGTTTGGGACGGTATCCTCCTCGTGGGCAAGGATTCCCGGTCCATGGAAGAGCGATGCGATGCGGCATCCACATCACATCCGAAAATCTGTGAAGTTTTTCCATTCTATTTGACTACACATATTCCGTAGTATATGACAATTTGTCAATCCTCATTACCCCATTCCTCCACCCTTGGGTTCTCGGATCCTTCTTTCATCTCACCATAATCAACACGAATTCACATAGATTATGTGGGCTACCAAATGCGATCATGATCCCCACCTCTGAATATTATGGCCCCGCCTACTCCTCCCCCCCTCCCCCCTCTTCCTCCCCATGCTACTCGTAAACCATGATGTTATAACAACTGATATTTTCACGACTCACTTCTGATCACGGCACGTCAGTTCCACTTCTTACCCACTCGAGCCGATAATATGAGATGTCATATGCACGGGCGATGGATCTTGCATATTATATGGCAGGTCGCACCAATCAATTCAGGCCACTCCTCACCTCAATAGCGTTAGAACGGTAGAACCTCCTTCAGTCATGTCATCCACCTTGATCACGCTGCTTTCGTAAAGAAGGGGGGAGGGGGCGAAGAAGGGCTGGGAAGGGGCGGTGATACGGAACCATAGCGAACATGCGGCTCTTCGAGTCAGCCAGAGAGCCTAGAGGGCCAAAACTCAATCCGGCTTCGTATCGACTATTGATTGATTGATACCAGCAAGGTGGCCTGGCCCCCCAAGATCGATTGATTTATCAACGACCATCAATCCCTTAGGGCTGTTCTACTGGATTCTGCCAATACGTTCCGAAACTCTATAGACGTAATACTTAGATTTCCGGGACGGTTTCTTAGTAGGAGCAAGGTGGACAAATATATTGTCATTGTTTTCATCTCTGGACTGATTTATGTCTGACGTACGGAGTACGGATGGATAACTTACATTGACCATTGACAAAGATGGTAGGCGAGTGGGGTGGTCGGTCGGAAAGGAAGAACTGCTCCTGCTGCTGTGGACGATCCTTGTCCCGGAAGCTGGGATTGTTACCGTTCGACTTCGGTTGTACTTTTAGTTGTTCCTAGGTACATTGACACTGGCGCACTTCTTCCCCTTCCTCCCTCCCCCCTTCCCCTCTCTCGACTACCAGCCTACAGCAGGCATTCGCTTCCAGTGCCAGTTATCCCAGTCATCCAGTCACTGCTCGCGTCCTTTCAGTTACCCCGCCGTGGGGAATGACTGACTGGCTCCCTGTGCGCCTGTCATTCCCTGGCTTTGGACCGATCGATCGCGATCATTCGCTCTGAGCCTTCGATCGAACCTGTCTCTTCAACAACCTTGCAGCGGGAGGGACGCCGTAGCCGTCGCGGTTTAGGGAATGCTGCAAGGCAAGCGCCTTGGAAAAACCCTGGACAACACGTTGTATACGTTACAAGCCTTCCCTTTTTGCATCTTTTGCGTCCTCTTTCTCTGTTTATTTTATTTTTTTTTTCTTTTATTCCTTTTTTCATTCCGTTCTATTGCTATCTTGGTATTCGGTGCAATTTTCGCTTTCTGAACATTATCTCTTCTGACTTCCTCTGAGGCCATCTGATTCTTCCTCGGATTGAACATGAAATGTAGCTAAGGCTCCAGGCTTGCTTATCCATAGTCTGGATTGGGATAAGCTATGACTTGGGATCGCTTTGTCGGTTTCTGTATGGTCCAGTGACCGGCCTCCGCGCCTTTTTGACACCACCACCGATGTGGATCCAACCCGACGATCTCTTTTTCCCTTCATGTATCGTGACATTGTCTCTTGTCTGCTTTTTGAGATTCTCGAATAATTGATTGGCTTGCGACAACAACCTCGCAGCCAAAAGAAAACACTGATCTCAATTGCAGTGCCAATATCTACTGTACTGCATTGTCCTATCGCCCCGCCTCCTCTCCGCGCGAAGACAAGGCCCTTTGGGCGAGGCCTGCAGCCATACCTGCTCCGGACCGTTCCTGAGGAAGAGGATTTGCTTCCTTGCTCCTCCCGTGCAGTTTTCTAGTGAGCTGGTGTTGTGTTGTTGGTCGGTTCAGCTGTCCGTTCGCTGGACTGCTGTGCCTACTTGTATTATTGCGCTTCCGGGATTCCCCCCCTAGTATCCCTTTCTCTCTTCCCCCGGGCTACCAGCCATTATTGCTTTGTACGACGTTGAGAGGTGAGTGGGTAGGCCAGGGTTATGGTGAGGCTTTATTACTTTTTGCTGCACCTCCCAATCTTCTCGTCTTCAATTAAGAAATGCGTGCAGGAAGCATTTTCCGTTGACTGAAACTAAGCGCGGTGGACGCTCTGGTCGTCAACCGTACCACCTCGCCCCCTCTTCCCCCCACTTGTCTACGGCATTTAATCAAGCAGAGACTGCAATAATTAACCCAGCGGGACAGTTGAATGTAAGGCAGGCCAGAATCATTAGACCAACCCAAAGGGCTGAATTAAATTCTCCCGCCACCGTATCGTCAAAACAAAGAGGCCTGTTTGTATGTCGAACGAATTATACCAGAATTCTTAAGGCCACCCTCATTTACCCCAACTCCTCCGCTGCTGTCTTTCAGCAAGCATCATCCTAGTAGAGGTACGGGGCAAGTGCTTCGCGAGTACTAGATTCCACCCCAACACACACCTCAGAAGCCGAGGCACCTACGCACAGATCACGTCTCAAAAAGTCGCCTACGACAAGTCAGTATCTCCTGTACCTAGGATCGAGGGTTTTGGGAAAAGGGACACCTGATTTCTTCTACACGGTCGCTAAAAAAAGAAAGAAAAAAGACCAAAAAATGTTTGGGAAGCAAGACAAACAAATAAGAACGGAAGTTAGCCTGGTTCTGGAAGCTCACTAGCATTAGAGAAGGAATGGAGTTCGATCGCATTCGAGTTCGGGTTCGAGTTCTGGGTGTGCCATGAAGGGGTTTCGATGGTTTGCCCTTAGTTTCAGCTTCGTTTTGCCCTGGCGCTGGTGCTAGCCTAGTCTGGCGAGCCGGGAGGGGACTGAAGAAAGATGGAGAGGGATGATGCTGTCATCAATCAATCAATCCCCTTTTCTGTTAACCCACCCCCAGCCCCAAAAGTTCATCCAGCAACAACCGAATACTAATGAAACGGGCTTCTCAGACGTTTCCGGATGACACGGGTTCGTTCATCCACTATTTTGGTATGAGGTTTGGCATGAACCACTCAAAAAGCAAAAAACACAACACATTAAATAAAATTCAAAAAAGGAAGGCCAAAAACATGAACCATGTCAATCCAATGAAACATGAAATTCGAAGAGGAGAGAACGAGAAGGTATGGATGGAGATCGGAAATGTGCAAACGGGGGTAAAATCGTCACCTCCAAAAACCTCTCCGGGCCTACTCATAGCATACGACTAAAATGTGGCATCTAGGATCCAGGATTCCTTTCGGATTCACAGTAGCAATTTGGGGACCTAGCGCAGGGATGGTTCCTCATGGATTATGGATCCCCCTCTCCAAACCCCATCAAGCTACAAACCTACTAAGTACATCTCTGCGCTGGACAGATGTAGTTATAGTACAGTACAACCTCTCCATAGTTACCTAGTACACACCGGTTCAAACACGGAGTACACCCGGAGTACATCCAGGGAGGAGCTCCAGCAGTGAACATGCTTCGACTCGAGCATAGCACTAATTGACTGAACCTCTAAAGCAGGGGCATACATAGCCTGGTCATTCAGGCTGCGTCTGAAGACTATCCCAGCCCGTTCTTCCTCTTTTTCATCCACCCCCGGATTATTTTCTAAGGGTAGGTAACAAGCCAGCACTCACTACCTTTCGAGATTCCTTGGCATCTGTCAGGACTACAACCCTAAAGACGAGTCAGGTAGGGACCGAAAAGAGGAACAAGAAGGACCAGCAATGAATCAGGGGAAGAGGAAAATCAGGATCTCAACCCGATTGAGATCAAATGGGGGGGCCATGAGAATGGATTGACACAGTCATTTGATATTCATACTTCTCGATCATTATTACTAAGTTCTTTCCCCCGTAGTTCCTTTCTCGACCTCTCTCTATTTTCTCTCGGTATACATTTCACTTCACTCATTTCTTCCATCTGTAGTTTCCCTCCCCGCCGCTTGCCCGTTCATTCTTTCTCTTTACATACCCATTATAAACCGAAAGGAGGGAGCGAGCAAGTTGAGACGAACCGTTCGTCCATCGTAGTTTTTATGGTCAATGTATCCACTCCACTTCACCTCCTCTCCAAGGATCGTCGATTCTTCACTGGGGTTTTTTTAGTTCTTAACTAACCTTACCCCCCCCCCCCTGTTCTTAACTACTTACCATATCATCCATGGTTGACGGGCTTGGCTTGGATGGAACAGCTGACGGACCGGGGGGGTTGCGCGCGGAAGATGCGCGTGTTGTGTCTTGTTGAAGGGATGATCTGATCTGATTGTTCGTGTTTCTTATTTCCCCTCTTTTCCCTCTCGTCGTCTCTTGACCATGGTAGACATGCATTGCCTTCCTTGTTGGGTGACAATATAACGTGTGTGTGGGCTTTGGAAGGATTTTGATATTCGGTCTACAGAGTAGTTTGTCTGCAGAATCTCGGAGGACCGCGACCTGCATGATCTGATCGATGAACGGTGCTATACATTTTTTTTCACGATTCAAATTCGGGGGGTTTAAGAAAAGATAAAAACATGGGCTACGTATGTAGTTGGTTAGTACGTGGGGGAGATAATCGAGTTCTTCTTCGAGATAAGACAAAATTAGAAGTATAAAATTGATAGGGGAAAAAAAAAAGTGAATTCGAAGAGGGCATTGAAGGGAAAAGAGATGCAATGAAAAGGGTAAAGTGTAGAAAAGAAAAAGGGAAAGGAAGGAAGGAGGTGGATATCGAAGGGGAGGAAGGGGAAAAAAAAAAGAAAAAGGAAAAAAGAAGTAAGAAAAACGAATTAGAAATTTTAGATTAAGGAAGGAAAAGAAAAATCAATTAAAATAATTTAAAAAAAAAACAAATCAAAAATTAAATTGTCTGAACCCCGACAACCTTGAGAAAAGAGATCTGGTGTCCACCCAGCCCAGATCCAATTGTTGAGCTGCCTCACTCCCTACCTTGCATAACCTTGGTTCAGCTGTCTCCATCGTCATCGTGTGCGGCAATGTCAAGGTACTTTTAGACTCAGGCCCTGGTAACTATATTACTATTCTATCTCGCCCATATCTCTTTTCAAATCCACTAATTCCACCAGCAGCAGTCGCATTCACACCAAATACTCAAAAAATCCTACTAATCCTCACGATCCTACCTCCCTCTCTCGTTCCCCTTCAATTCTTTATCTTATCCTTCTTAATCCACTTCCATCCCCTCCCCCCTCCCTCTCTCTCACACCCCTCCTTCTCCTCCACTCTCCTATCCTTTTTCATTCCACCAACCCCACCACCACTCACTACAATCCACTCTGGCTAGATTAGCCTCCTCCCTCTCGGTTTCTTCTCTTGATCAACATAAGAGAGACTTGACGCGCGCGCGCCGTACGCCTCGTTATTCCAATCCGATCGCCCTCCCAGGATTGTCTGAAGAGCCGCAGGTCGGCTGTATTTACCCTGTCTGTCTGTCTTTGCGCTAGCGGATAGTCACATCGTGTTTCAACATCGCCACCACCACTCTTGAGTACTTTACAGTCTATGTCCCAGTACCGTGATCTGGGCGAGGGAACTTCTGCTGGAAAAATGGCTATCTCATACGCAAGTGGAATGACAGCCGATCATACGCCAGCCCTTCCTTCCTTCCGAGAGGTGAGTTTCAGAGTCACAAAACTACCCTGTCGCTGAGGTCTCCGAGAGTATATAAAAAAAAAAAACTAAACTGGTCTTGTTACCCCCGCTATAGCTTCTTCCTCCTCATCTCCACGATGAAATTGAGTCGACTTCATATTTTGCCTCCCGCCAAAATCCACACACGCGCGAAAGACCCCTTTCAGCTAGTTTCGACTTGACCCCGACTTCCCGATCTCTGTCCGATCGCCTACCGTATGCCACTCCCTCGAAGCTACCATTGGCGGACGACTTCCGGCCTGGTGAAGCATTTCCGCGAGACAGCAGCAGCCCCCTTCATAGCCGCCTTGCCGGAAATCCCCCTCAGTCCGCTTCAGCCTCGACTCGATTTACTTCTCGTGGCCCCAGTCCCATTCTGCCGTCGATCCGCGATCTTCAGTCCCTGCCCGAACGGGGGATGTCCCCTTCGTCGGCTGCATTCTCGGAATCAAGGGGTTTGTCGCGACCCGAGTATGCGGCACAGGATTTCCGCGCTGGACCTATGAGCGGCCACGGTTTTCCTGCGACCAACATTTCCGGCCCCTTAAATGATAGGAGGAGTGCAGATTCGTTTATGGGAGGCGCTGGGCCGCATTCGTTGCCCAACCAGGTCGCATACCCGTACCCCACGATGGCCTACCAGAGCGACTCGGAGCAAGTCACCCCGCAATCGCTATCCCACGCCCAGCAATCCAATTTTGGCATCCTTGGCGATCCGATCGACTCCAAGAATAAGCGCAGACGGGGCAACTTGCCGAAGCCGGTCACGGATATCCTGCGCGCCTGGTTCCATGAGCACCTTGACCACCCATATCCTAGCGAGGAGGATAAGCAGATGTTCATGACTCGTACGGGTCTCACGATTAGTCAGGTAGGCCGATACCACCCCATCCATGTGTTTCCCCTCACACGATTTGCTCATTCTTTCCTTAGATCAGCAACTGGTTCATCAACGCAAGGCGGCGACAGCTCCCTGCACTTCGCAACCAAATGCGGAACGGTGGTAATGACCTCGATTCTCAGCGGCAGTCACCTTTCAGCGATGTGGAGCATACGTCTCCTGAGTCGATGCCGTCTCCCCACATGGGCACGAAGCCCTGAAACATTGCGACCCAATTAATTCCGACGCGGAATCCCGACTACTGGTCACATTTGCCACGAAATACATCCACTACGTCACGAGTTTACGGAGTCCCTGCGACATTGACAACCGAATAGACATGAGCTTTTGCCGACAGTTGTTTTATTCCCTTTTTATACTTTCTGGATTGTCACAGAATCTACGAGCCGAGCCGAGTGAGGTTGACAAGACCGCTCTTGATACCCTTTATCATTTTCTAATCGACTTCAAAATCACTTTGCATGGTCCCGATCCACGGGGGGTCATTCTTTACGCGCGTGGGAGCACGTCCGGCCCGCTGTCTACACAGCATTGGCGTCGACTGGCTTCCTTAATCACTGTTTTTATTTCGCATCTGAGGCGTTTGGCTTGCGCTTCTCACGTTCAGGTCGGCATTCTGAGTTTTCTTTCCCCTCAAACATTTATTAGACGACCCTTTCTTCATCGATGCACCTGAGGGGTTTGGGTTTGGATGGGTCTTTTGCTTTCGATGAGCGCTCAAATGATCTTGTACAGTACATGGGTGACGTGATCATGTCAAGCTAGACTGGGCTTTTTTCCCCTGACTGTTCTCCTGCTGTCTCTTGTTGTCATTTTTCCTATGTTACGAATCTCTTTGCATGATTCCCGCTCTAGATTTCCGAAAAACCGAGAAGCATTAATGATTGAAATTATTGTTACGAAATGCCAAAGCATAGACAGCGCAGGAGAGCAAGACAGACCTCTAACGAGCAACCACCTTGCTAATACTGAACCTTTTGCTCCATCAATTATCTCTTCGTCCACGGCCAGGTTTAGTCAGCCGGAATTTACTTGCTTCCTTTTTTTCCCTCTCCCCCTCGAAACGAAGTAGGTACTACATTTTCGGTTCTTTTCTCCTCAGTGGCCAATTTGGTCTCCGCTGAACCATGGTTCAGTATCTCAAATCTCGCACCCGGCAGCCTGTTGCATGTCTGGCAATCATCGGCCCAACAATTTTTGATTTACGGAAACTACTCCGACATGCATTGAGTGTGTTGGACTTTTCAATTTCTTTGGTTTTTTCTGCTTTGGAAAAGAGATGCGGTTGGTTATGGGCGGCCTGCTTCCCCTCAGACTCGAAGTATCTCAGAGTATTGTTTTGTCACCATTGGTGCAAAAGAAAAAAGGCGTTCAAACCCTTTTCGACTATTTTTTCTTTTCTTTTTCACGCACAGATAACTATGTCAAGGGCCAGAAACATATTTTGCACAAGGTGAAGAGGGCGGAGAGAGAACGGGCCTGTGTCCTGTCTGTGTCCTGTGTAGACACCTAGAATGCTCCACATTTTCTTCCATTCTTTTTGCTTTCAGTTCAAAGCTTTTGCGGTGTGTGTAAATCTGGATGAACAATATGAAGGAAAAGGGAACGAACTGAGTATGCGATGAGGAACCTTTCTCTCTATGCTGTTAACACGTCATGATAACCTTTCCCCCTTTTCACATTGCTTTTCCCTCACCTTTTGGGATTCTACTTACCTTACTTTTTTTTTCCGCCTCTGTCTTCCATAAAAAAAGAATCAAAGGACGAAAAAATTTTGGACCAAAAGAAAAAAACTCTGATTATTTGTCGCATTAGGAAATCCGATGAAATCCAAATCGCCCAGGTATCCAATCAAGCCTCAAATTCGGTCCCAGCCAGTCGGGACGGATAGATCGACCGACCGACCCTAATGACCGATTGGCACGGATCATGGGATGGGATGGTTGTCTTTGCTCAATACAACCATGTACCCAATTTACCTACCTACTCTTCTGGAGGACTTTTGTAGTTCATCTAGTTTTTTTCTCATGCCTAGGTACATTTATCTAGCAATGGATGACTACGGTCAGAGAGCATACAGATATTATAATCTTGGTACTGTGAGTCGGTATGTATGTACCGGTACTGAGGTTGGGTTGGTGTAGAAGGGGTACTACCTAGGTAGGGGCCCTTGACCCCCGGCCTCCCCCCCCCCCATCCAATCCGCCCCTCGTGGGACTGACTTACTACCTTACCCATGAACAACACACCACCACCACCAACTCAATATACATGACACTGGAGAGCCTATTCCTCAGAGAATCTACCCACTACCTCCGATTGGACCTTTCAAACCGGTGTACGGTGTACAGAGGTAGAGTACGTCCGCTGGGTTACTCTTTTAGGGTTCCTACATAAGTATGGTGGTTAGGTACAGTACAGATGAGAGCCAGAGAGCGAGAGAGCCAAAGAGGCGGCAGGCGGGGGAAGGAAGTGAAAAGGACCGAGCGCAACTTGCTTTTTTTTTCTTTCCCTCGCTCTCTCCATCATACTGCTTCATTTGGCAAGGGGGGACTCTTGCGAGTTGGTTTTTCCGGTAGGGCGAGAGAAGGGTGCTGTGCGTGCGTGCGTGCGTGCGTACGTGCATGCGTGCGTGCATTCTGCGCGCGTTGTGTTTGTGACTGTGTAGTTGGGCTTCTTTTTGCTTTCTTTTGGGGCGGGGGATGGCAGGTAGGTTGTCAGTCGGTCGGTCAGCTGCTTGAGGAGGGCTTTGTTTTGTTTTATGGTCGGGTTTATTTGGCTTCATGTTGCGACTCATTTGGAGAATGGACAGGGGACTTGCTCTATGTTTTTGTTTTTACTTAGGGTTTTCGTCTTTTCTCGGCCTTAGACTATTGATCTACTGCCTTTACGTTTCCCCGCTTCGTCCTTTCAAGATGTAGTGGTCGCTGCTAGCTCAGCTTGGTCTCGTGCTTCGTGCTTCCCAGAGAAGCATGTTCGAGATGATTGATGAGGGGGGGCGGGCGGCTTGGGGGATTTTCGATCGCAACGGTCGCTAAGAAGTCAAATTCTACGTTGTTGTAGAAAAAGAAGAAGGGTAGAATATGCAGGTCGAATCTATATGTCTACTTACCTACCTATGCATAGACCACACAGCCAACGTCTTTCTTCCCCGGACTGGGCGGAAGGATCGACCGTGTTGGCATGTATTGGAGACCAGTTTGAAGCTTTTGATATGACGGAACTTGACGCCGATGAGGAAAGAGAGAAGGGGGGGGGGGAGACTTACTGCATGAAGCACGGGGTTGGGAAGGGAGGGGGAGGACGAGGAGTGAAATATTGAGTAAGTTAACAGAAGGTGAGGGCACATTTCGACTGGCATTTCTTGAAGGTCGGGAGTGGAGGATGCTTCGCAAAAACCGGGATTTGATCCGATCTATCACATGGCGGTGAATCTGACCGATGTGCATGGAGGATCCCGGGCTGGGTAGATGTCACCTTTGATGCGAGGGAGGGAAAGGGTGAGGAGAAGGGAGGGTGATCGGACCCCCGCGTACAGGGAAATGTGGAGAGACAGCGAATTGTACTGCAGGTAAGTATGTATGTATGTATGTATGTGTTATTGATCGGAGAAGAAGAGCAGGAAGACGAGGTGTGGTGACAGGAATGTATTCCATGCTCACATCAAGTATACTAAGTCAACTTAAGTTAGTTACTACTGAACTGGGCTGCCACTTTCCCTTCGACTCAACTTGGCGCTGCTTTTTGCTTATGGAGCAGCCAAGAGCGTGGGAGGAGCATAAAAGTGCGTGTCTGGAATAATTCTGAGCGGCGGTCAATGTCAGTCGGACCATCGCCCTACCTAAACAGCATTTAAGCGTTCACCTAAGTTAATGCGGGCTACTCATGTAACTCAAATAAATTGTGCATGACTACAGAAATCTGTCTCGTCGAGCTCCTCGACACCATACGACGGACGTGATGTAGACAAGCAAAAAGACGGTAGTATATTGCTCGTTAAAGAGTATGGCGCCGAAGTCTTGTACCGGTCAAGATCGTGCCAACATTTCCTATGTGCTCCGGCGCTACTCGTTCATTCCCCCACATTCATATAGTAGCCTGGGTAAACAACTTCCTCTCGGCCCAGCAAGAGGGACAGCGCCCTTGGCCAACTGCCGGGCGTAGTGCAGGTGGCCACTATTCTTGCTGGTGTATGAAAAAGGGAATAGGATCTGGGTTAAAAGGGGGTTGAAGCAGGCCTACCTCACGAAAGCTTTGATTTGCTGTTGCTCACTGTACAATTGCAGCTTGTTGTTGGATTATATCCTTCTCATAATCTCATTCTAGAACATCAATATAAAATCTTCTAAGCATGTTATTGATATAGCATGTAGAGGACATGTATAGACTTTACACCAGCCTTTAGCTTTCTTCCATACCGACATACTCACCATCATCCAGATTATCAGCAGGAAGGATAAATTCTGTTATATGATCGAGGATACAAGATATCTTACATTCTTGATAAGTGTTGTGGAAGCTCTGCTAACTTAATGGGAGAGTTCGAGGACTCAAGGCTATTCACCGTAGTATGCCCACGGTTTAGAGAGCTTGCTCTAATCATATGGTGAGCGAGCGGGAGCGACCGGAGTTTCAAGTGCGTGCTCTGTGAGCGATCTGTGTGTGCTCTGGGACACACGGATCGCCCGTATACCATCCTGTGAAAGCGGCGGCATGCCCAATCCCCAATTCGGTAAGCAGACGGGGTTTCTGTTACAGCACAACAGCTCATGTATAGTTTATCAACGGACCGTGCTACTTAACTGTCTTCTTGCCCGCCTTGACATGCCTGCGCGAAGAAAATACGATGTAGGATCGCATGATTGTAGCCTCATCATGTGTCTGAGTCTGTGAGATCATCCCATGATCTGGGAAGAAGACGCATGTCTGGCTGTCTGTCTGTCTTGTTCGTACATTCGGCCGACAAAGGATCAGTTGCAGTTGGACAAGAGGAATCCGTCAGGGCATTGAGAGTCTCCCCCCCCCGTTGCGATCAGGGAAAACCTGGAAATGAACCCTATCTGCACTCCACTTTGCTGCAGCAGATCTCCCTTCCTCGAGTGATTTGTATGTACGTAGACAGGGATCGACATGATACAACATACTCATACATGAGTAGTAGCTGTCGTTTCTCGCTTGCTGTCTGTGCGACGGGGTTTGACAGACCATGATCACCGAGCATGTCCGCTAAGCTTCATCCCTGGCTAGCACTCTCACATATTTGTATACTCATCTAATTAATTACTTAACACGCTTGCCCTTAGCTGCAAGGTGGAAGTCGGTAAGAACTCTCCCTCCTTCCACGATCGGTTTGACCCATCATGAATACCCTTCTACTTAGGGCAAAAGCGGAAAATGCAGCCGCCACCCGCCACCACCTTAACTCTTCATCAGAACTGAACTTGAGGGTAATAACATCATTCAGCTAAGTCTACCTCACCTACGGACTACATCGTAGGTATGTTTCGTGCTTTGCCTCCAAATACCTCCAAATTTCCAGAAAGGATTCCCGGAGGGAGTCCGTAGTCTAATTGCATGAGACTATGTGCGGAGGATTTGTACATGTGGTCTTTCATGCACGCCATCCTTGTTTTTCCATCTGCTGCCTTTTTGAAACCATCTCCTTGTGCCAGACCCGCCTCGAAAGTAAGTTAGATCCTTTTCCCTCTTTGGGCTGATTCTTACAGCCTGACGTCCTGTCAGAGCATATGCATATTCGGTTGCCTAAATGCTTAAATGAGCGAAGGGCCTGATTTGTCGTGGGCTCGCCCTCCAGCGAGTTCTCTTTCCTCCTTCCTGTAGAATTCCGATGTGACTGGGAGAACGTGAGGGGGGATACCGAGCGTCTGCATGAGACGAGCTCCCTTTCCCCCACTTGCATTGCGTCTTTCTCTCTCTCCCTGTCTCTCTGGAAATGGAATTCCATCCCCCCTCCCAGTCCCACGGACACACTGACAGGAGAGACCCAAGAAAACTTTATGCAAGTCAGAATAAGTTAAGTAGTGATCCCGGATCCATTGCTATCTGCCCAACCTCCAACGGCCTTTTTTGTCAAATAAACTTTCGTCCTTGATTCCTTATTCCCTGATTTGCACCAATCGTTGCTTGTTCAGTTGAATGAATGCATTGAATTTATGCTGTGACAGCAAACGCTTAAATGGTCAGTCGCATGTATGTGTTCAATATGCTAACATGTTTCGCAGCTTAATTTGGACAGTTGTACATGTGCACATGTCCCGAGCACATATGTGTATGCAATCCCGCACGGAGCTCTTTTTACGGGTTCCCAGACTTGTGAAACAAACCTACCTGCTGGGGGAAAAGGCTTACATGCATCTGTACTGTACCACCTGGATTTGGGTTTCCCGATCCCCTTCCCTGCATAGCACTTCAGGGTCGGTGCCACTCCAGGGTCATGTAGTGTACAGTACGTCTTGTAACCATGCCGAAAAAAAAGATTTGTATGTAACACAGCATACTCGGTACACATCGGTTTTCTCTCGGGTGTGACAACATCCCAGGACGATGGTTTCTCTCAGACACACACCTCTTTCCCCTGTGCTCTCATTGGGCGGGTGTCCCATTCTTAGCCCTACGAAGCACCCCGGCCTTGAGGACGAAGCGGTACGGTGTGTGCGTGTGTGTGTGTCGACGAGAGACTAGGCGAGATAGACTTTTTCCGAGAAAGGATGACTTTGATAGTATGTATGTTTGTATGGTATGTTATGTAGCTACTGTGTTGTTACACCCTTGCCTTCTTCCCATCCACCCTCGTTTCCTCCTACTCTTTTTTCCGATATGTAGTATGGAGAGGGGTGGGAAATGCATGGGACTTATGGCTGGTGGTTTGGTGCTTTTGGAGAGACTGGTGGGGTGTCAGGAGATTGTGGTAATGGTACTGTACCGTGGATGCTTGTTGGTCTTTTGGTGCGGTGTATTTCTGCTGTTAAGTTGATTTGCTTGGTGGGGTATATACTATCCATAGCCTGTTTGGCGGTTTCAGGTGAGGTTGAGTATGGGATGTATTTAGGATGTGGAGGAAGAGGATAGGGATTCTTTTTCTGTTGAAGAGACGTGATGGATATTTACCAGGGAATGTAAAGCTAGACTTATGCGCCGCTTCTATAGCAGAAGTAACAATCCAAAAGAGAGGTATCTCCTGCTACGATACTGTTTCGAAATGTTTCTTAGACTGGGTAAGACCTATCCGGATGCCTACTGTCTGAGGGTCTCGCAGGGTACTCATCTAATAACTGTAGAAATGTGCTATCTCTCCCCGGTAGAGTGTGGCCTTCCGAGTAAGAATAGTCTTAGGCTCATAATGCCTCCCTTGAAGTACTGTACCCAGCAGAATGCCCTGAAAAGCGGCCTTGCGACCTCGTGGCCAGGCTGTTGACCGCCCGCCGCGCCCATGTTGACATTTTTACTCAGATAGTCTCAAGTATGTACTTGAACTCATTCATCACCCACATACTTCATCAATCAGACCAATACATTTTCTTCTGGAAGAGCGGGGCATGACCGAAGTATGAGCAATCAATTCATCTGCTTCCGGCCGAGGCAGAAATTCACACCGTACGAAGGCTCGTTGAAGCCAGTGTAACGACCGATGAGGCAGATCTGCGACAGACACTCGGCTGGCGAGATGTGAACATATAGGAAGGAAAGGGAGGCAGTGAGGTCATTGACAAGCGTATCACAGATGTTCGCGGTGCTGGAAAATCCATCACCACTGATCTTCACTGTCTGACGCATGCGAGGACGATGCTCCAACCACTGTTCGTCGTGCCCAGTCGCAATGACATGGGAAAAGGCCATGGGAGGAACCGAGCTTTATTATAGCCACCTGCTTTGATGACTTACAGCATCTTTCAAGACTCAACGAAGCTCATCGAACTTCAAACTTCCCTGTCTATGATGCAGAGAGACAACAGGCTTGAGAGCAACCTGGCCGCGGCTGCAGTTGACCGAACTCATGGGAAGTGACCTTTATCGGCTGGGTGCTCGTGATCGCTGCAGTGAAGATGTGACCATGTATCCTTTCGCTTCAGCCTTGAGCGATGCGAGGCTTGGCACAGCTGACTATCGATCACATTTGCAGGCAAAGATTCCACTCCCCCTGGATGGCAGAAGTACAAGTGGACAGAGCGAGTGGCCGTGGCTACCTCCCACTTGGAATCTTCTAGACCATTAGGAAAGTCTTATCCCAACACCTACAATCCCCGCAGCAATCCCGCCCTTCCCCTCCCCGGCAATTGACTACTCCGAGGTCGGGGCGGGGAATTGACAGCCTTAAATTGTCAGAACGGGTTTGACCGCGATACGGAGAGTCTAGAGGCGTATCGCTGGGGTAATGAGTATCCTAGTGCAGTAGCACGAGTTTCTATCCATCTGAGCAGACTGACCGTCGATCAGTATCTATGTGCGACACCCTCACAGCAGCGTTGCGAGCGTAAAGCGATTGCTCCTCACGTCTATATTGCACCGCTCTCCATATAGATCCGGCCTTGAACCTCAAGCTTGACAGAAGACGAAATATAGTCGAATTTCGACCTGCTACCGATGAACGAAAAGATCCAGTGCTTTGCCTGCCTGAGAGCACAGATGCCGCTACAGGCATTGTCGAGTGTGGCAAAGTCAACTCGAAGCTGTCTCTGATTGGTAGGATCAAGCCCCCTTGTCAAATCACATATGGAGTCAGGATTGCGAGACGATGCAGTCTTTGATAGGTCACAGTTGCGTGCTAACGACTGGCAGACACTGAGAATATGCACAGTGGATGGAAGGTTGTGGCTCGCATCGTAAACCCCATGACAAGGTACGAAGAATCAGGGCCTCTCAGCCACACTTGGTGTTGTGAGTCCTATTGGCGCTTCACCATACATAGTCATGCTTACTCGTGTCGACTATGTCGACTGACTCGACTACCTAGGTCGCATTGGAAAGCATCACCCGACAGGGGCTTCTGTGTCGAAGTGACAAACGTGGGGAGGAAAGTTCCACAAGTCATGCCATTGCTCTTTGTTGTCATGACTCCGACCTATCGTACCCAATAGATCGATTCGAGCACAACGATAGTTCAATTTCCGCAGATCGATCGAGCGAATCGTGCGGCTGGCATGATCAGGGCGACATCTGTACTGGATCGTTGCTTACGAATGACCTTATAAGCCAGCGTCTATTCGATGTAACGTGACAGATACACCCGTCCAATGCTACGCACCTTCCCGGTCCGAGATCCATAATCCCGGTGAGGTATACTTCTCACAGCACCGGCGGGCCTTCAGCTATCTCTGCAGCAAATCTGATTCGTAGGCGCTGATGATTCGATATCAGACACAAGCTGGACAATGTGGCGGCTAGTCACTTTATACACCGGCTAGATCCCTGTTGTTCAGGTGATGTGTCTCTAAGACCCTCTTATCAGGGTAGGGCCGCACAGATCCCTGACTCACACCGTGAACATGGGTCAGTCGAAGACCAGGAGACGAGGAGTTGCGACTGGTCTCAGGAGCCAAGGAGCCATTCTCGTCTTGCACTCAGATATGAGCAAAGTCTCATGTCACCAACTCGAAATGATTAGATGAGGATCAGAAACGCATGCATTATCCTCGTCTCCTATATCTCGGAGGAGACCTTTCGGAGAGACGGGCGTCTGGCGGACGTCCGAATCATGTTCCATGTTGCCCTGATGAACCAGTTTCGGGTCAGTGGCCAAAGCTTATAGGACAGGGTAACATTAGCTGATGCCGTCTATCCGCCTCCGCTGCAATATCAGTATGCAAGGTCATGGCCACCAGCTTAATTAGTGATGCCAGAAACATGGCCACATGATCGAGCAGATGGGCCAGCCGGTGGACGTCCGACTCCTTTACCGGACGTTGAGCCGGTTGACCTTGCTCGGGAGTCTAAACTAAGTAGTAGACCTGATCCAATGAGACTGAGGAGGAACGAAGTAGTTTTCTGCAAGCAAACCGTGTTCCCGCCTACTATTGGAGCCACCTAATCTCGGGACGTCCGGCATCGGCGCTCTGGGGGGGGGTGTGCAAAATGCCTGTCGTGGTGGACCGTCTTAGGTTCGGCTAGATGTTATAAATTCTCCTTCCTTTCGCATCTGCGACGGATGATGGTGCATCCTTCATGACTCTTTAAGGTTGAAGGGAGTATTGATGGTCAAAAGATCTCCTGTTAAGCCCTTTCGGAGGGCCGATCCCGAGCCCTAGTCCCTCTGCTCGCAGAGTCTTAACTCTATCGCCAAGTGAGTATTGATATGCAATCCTGCGGAGGCTGTCATTGGTTGCATTGGCTGAATATCTGACCCATCCAGTAGATGTCTCGACTGACCCTGCCAGTTCTCGAAGGAAAGAAGTGGACGCCAGCATTCGCAGTACCAGGCACAACACGTCGTGCACCCTGTCCTTCGGCTGGAGACCATGACATTACTCGAATTACAGTCCTTTACCCACGTGGAGCATTCCCTGATGGGACTGGACTTGGGCTACTGTGTAAAGGGTTGCATCTGAAGGTGTGGTCTGTACACACATCTCTCCACTCAGGGCGACCGAGTCCCGCTGCTTGCCGCTGCGCCGACGGTTGCCGCGCTCTTGAACAAGAAGCCATTACATGAGTGTTTCAATTGCTGGGGCCAGATTTTGAGACCTTGTATCCAGGGTCATGGTTATAAATAAAGGACACTGCGCCAATTGCTCAGAAGATTGGAATTGACAGGAAAGTCATCAGGATAGAAGTTGGTTTTTTTTTTTCCTCCCTCTCTTCGATGAAGCAAAACAGACAAACAAACAAACACGGTTGTTAGTCCCGTGAGTCCTCAGGTTGTGTCTTCCATGCCCGTTTAGGAAGGTGCTTTCAGGCTCAGCTCGGGCTCAGCTTCAGCGACACTCCAGCAATCTTCGTTCTCAACCTTCAGCACACCCAGTCTCTCCGACCTTGTCTAACACGGCTCTCCCTTCTCAGTTCTCTATCGCTCTCACAATGGCAGTGATTACTCGATTTTCAATTCCTGTCTCTATAATGGCTATGGCCACTTGGGTTGCTGTCGCGGTTGGGTGACCATCTGCTAGAGCCGATCGACTGCCACTATCCCTGCCATACTCAGTCTGTCTGCTTTTATTGGCGGATTTTGACTGCGCAGAGGAAATGACCTCCAAGTGTCTGGACTCTGGACGATCAGCTGGTAGCTGCCTTTCTTACACCAGCGATTGGTTATAGGAAGTGTCGGCAATGACCGAAGCTTGCCGAGTGGTGGCGGTTAATTTATCAGCCTGATCAGCCAGCTCAACCTGGCCTCCGACAGGTACGGTTCGATAAGCACGAGATACTACGGAGTACCGACCTACAGTATGCCCTGAGGACCTGAGATTACGGATCTCTCCGACACAATAGACTGCGAAATTAAATGCCTCATATCTCGAATCATCGGGCTCGAATTCCATCATTTTAACGTTAAACTATTGACACATCATCATTTATTTGTTCGAATCGAACGATAGCATGTGAGACATGGAGTCGGATGCAACCACATTATCATGCCAGTGGGGAACGCTTGAATTCCCAACTTGGCTTAGCCGACCAACGCTGATTGAATTCATCGGGCTTTCTGACTGGATCATCTGACAATAACCCAGAAAAGAGAGAAGGCAAAAGCTGTCGCTCGACTGTTACTCCCATTCCCCCACGCGATAGTTTTGCTGCGCTCATGGACTTTTGTACGAGGGATCGCATAGCCAGGTGTCGTTTTTATTCTTTTTTCCATCCCGTCCGCCCCCGCTTTTTGTCTTCTGCCAATTGACTTTTCTCGGGGTCAGCAAGCGAGATGGGTCCTAGAACGAACGGAAGACGGTGGTAGCGGCAGTGGTTGGTTGAATTGCGCCTTTCGCTCTAGAACTGGCGCTGCAAGCCGATGCGCTCCATCCCAAAAAGGGTCTACGGCCCGTGAGGCCGAGGTACAGTTGTCGCTAGCTGATGCTTGACAGCGCGCAAAGCACGGAATGGGTTTGATTCGATGTGCTTCTTTCCTTCCCTCCGACTCCGACGAACGATTCTCAATATCTCAAGATGCGACCGAGAAGACGACAGTTATTCGCACCAGACCGCAGATCAGCAATCCCCGGCTCGGGGCTGGAAGAGCTTTCGATGCTAAATTCGGTTATCATAGTGCTTGGTTGGCGCCAGTCCTCTCGTCACGGGCTCATTCCAAGACAAGCCTTGAGCAGACAACACAAGCTCCACCGCACTTAAGAACACTGTACTCGTACTACTGGGACCCACTCAATTTGTGGCCTTAACTCGGGTGCCTGTCGATTACGGCCAAATTGTGTCTCTCCTTCACTCCGAATTGTCAACTCGGGACCAGGTATGATGCGATAAGAGCAATGCATAGTATGATTCTTCGACACCCAAACGGCTCACAGGGGCTTTAGTGGGCCATGAAGGAGTTCCACAATGGTCCTGATCGCTCGAATCAGTGCCGAGGATCCCCCACGGGATACACTACCAGGGAATGAACCTGGGCGCCCTGGCACCAACAACGATGGACCTGCATCGGATATACTTTGTTGGCTGAAAACCTAGTCAAGGATAGGATGGCGCTAGCTCTATAGCCTTGCAACTGCCATCGAGAACATCCGCTGGTAGCCGCTTTGGCAGGTGCTCAATGTTGCATTGCAGCGGAGCCTGTTTGAAGCTGGAGCAATTGTTCCTGTGAAGGCACCAAACCCACCTTCGTTGTATGGCTGCTATGCCCATCAGGTTACCCTGGATGATCCATTGACCCCGCGTTCTACGGCAGTGGCCTTGGCCTTTGCTGGCATCCACCATCACAAAAATTCTTGAGCGACAGTCAAGCATGTAATAGCGATCGCGAATCTTAGAAATGGCCAACAAAGGGGTAAGATGATTCAAGGCCTGCACTAGCGCGATGAGGAAAAACATGCATGCATGGTCGTGGTTATCCAAGGCGTTCAATCCCGAAAGATCATGAATGGAGGCCTTATTCACCTTCTTATCCTGGAACTCCTTCCGATATCGATTTAGGGTACATGATAAGGACTGCCGCCGAACAAATCAGTGGACTTAATAGGGCCTGTCTTAATTTCCCACTGGCGCCAGCAAGCCCAAACCAACCCCCTCTCGCCCTCTCTAATCCCTCCCCCCCTTTCAATGAAAGCGGAATTTACTTTCAATCCGGTTTACGTCGGAAGTGCACGGTAAGAAAGCACGAAGTATCATAGCGCTTGCCAATCAACCCCTCTTCCTCGGACTGGTGAATAATCCTCCTTGCGGTCCATCGGTTTGCTTTTTTTTCTGTTTTCTAGAAGACCTGCAGGGCCATGGATTGGCCGGTCGCACCTACTTCCGCCACTTAGCGTTTACCCCAGGTCAAGACCGGACTGGAGCGGGTCCCATAACACCCAGAACACCCAGAACCAATCTAACAATTTATCTGTCGTCAATTCGCAGCAAGCGAGAACAATCGCATTCCCCAGTCTTGGTGTGCCGACTCTTAAAAAGGCCGATCTTTCTCCTCCTTTCTCTCCACCAGCCCTGCTACTATTGATGGCCCGCGCGTAATTCCCTGGTCCCTCCCTCAATTGTCTTTCCAACGCAACCAATTTCCCTATTCATCAATTGACCAAATTGATCAAATTGACCAACCACGGCGCCCCATCCAAGGCCATGACTAGAACCACCGACGAGATCAAGTATGAGGCTTCCTCATGGGAGCACAAAGGTGTCACCGTGGCCGACGATGGCCGGAGATTAGCGTCAAATCCCGATACTGCCCGTCCCAAAGGACGCATACGACGATCGATGACGGCTTGCCATACTTGTCGCAAGCTTAAAACCAGATGCGATTTAGATCCGCGCGGCCATGCATGCCGCCGCTGTCTATCCTTAAGGTCAGAGGCAGATCTCCACCTGCTGGACCATTCCAGTGCCCTTCTATTCCTGTAATTAGTGTGAATTGAAGAGCCTCCGACGTCTGACAGTTATCAATTCCTACAGGATCGACTGCAAGTTACCGGAAACGACCGATCGTTTTCAAGATAATGCCTCAATGTGGTCAGATGCGACGTCCGCGATTCCGTCGATTGAGGAGCGCTTGACCTCACTCGAAAGAAGCATGAGAGAGATGACGAGTATGATGCGCCAAATGCTGGACCAATCGCCAGTAACTCCCACTGGCATTCCCTCGTGTTGGACCAGAGCTACCAATGCCGATGATGGCACGTCGTCGGAAGGCAGCCCATCATCCCCATTTTTGCCCAAGCCTGTTCGGCTCATCCAAGACCTTCAATCGGAATTCTTTGGTGAGACCGAAAACTCGGCATACTTGAGCGAAGACATCGCAAAGGGTGGCTTAGACTCTAAACTATCACTCAAACTGCTGCAAGTGTATGAACCATCGGTCCATTCCCCTCGGTGCTTGGACAAATTACTGATGCTTGAAGTAAAGTTTCGTGGACAATTTCGGCCCTTATGTCTCCATATATAATCTCTCCGATATACAGAACGAGGCGCGGAATCCTGATTCCTTGCTATATAATACTGCTTGTCTACTGGCATCCCGCTATGTTCCTGGCATCCCCACATCTGTGGTACATACGATATACCTTCAAGTGCGACATGCTGTGGTAAATCTTCTGTGGGATAAGCCACCGCTTCGCTACGAGTCTCTCCAAGCTCTTGCGCTACTTTGCCTTTGGCCTGCGACTGTACAAAAGGAGCCCCCAATGGACAGCTGGCTGTTGAGTGGAGTTTCGATCAACCATGCCATCATCTCCTTTGATTGTCTCAACTATGGGCCTACGGAGACTATGATCGATAACGAGACCGCCGCACAGCTCCGGCTTTGGAATACTTACTGCTTGACGCAGCTCCAGTGCGGTCCATCCGTTCTACTACATGGCTCTTCCCGCTAATTATGCATAGTTTTGCGGTCGGCAACGCTCGTCCTTTCCATATCCAGCCACGCTATCTTGATCATTGTCCACGGATTCTGGAGCACCCAGGTGCAACTCTGGATGACGCAAAGGTAGTGGCCGAGATCCAGCTATACCTCATTACACTACGCCTCCAGAGCAATGGCGGCCGAATGCGAGTCGCCGATACCAAATTCGAGGAAATCGAGCGGTGGAGGGCCGAGTGGGCCCATCTCTTCGGTAGGTCCTGCATATCTTGCGAAAATTAGTCAGCTACGAAGGAACTAACGAGATAGCGAACTCAGCTGGTGAACAGTTCACCCTCGAGCTAAGCCTCTGGTTCTGCCAGATCCTTCTCTACCGCACCTCCATGCGCTTTAGCCCGGGCTCCGATACTCTCGCCTCGGAGGTCCTGCAAACCTCCCGCCTGATGTTGTCCAAGTTTCTTCAGATCCGATATTCTTCCGCTCTAAGCCTCGTCGACCAGACGTATTTCATGGTTGGCTATGCCGCCCTCAACCTCTGTGATTTCAACCTCATGGACCCACTCATCGAGCAGGTACAGATGTTCTTGCTCCATCTGTCCCCCAACGAGGATCACATCGCCTATCGCTTCTCCTGCATGATTGTCGAGTTCAAGCGGCGATGCACCGAGGGCAGCGATCCGGCCACCACCGCGGCCGCGGCCGCGGTAGCAGCGGCAACTGCTGCCAAAGCCTCCTCTCCGCTGTCATCCTTCGGGGAAACGCGGAAGATGAGCATGGAGCAGACGGCCTCATTCCTGCCCCCCATGGTCGATAATATGATTGATGGCTACGGATTCGAGCAATTGATGCCGGAAGTGCTCCCACAATCATTTCCCGACGGGATGCTCAATGAGATGGCAGTCGCCGGGATACCAGGATATCGGTCGGCAACGCTCTGAAACTCCCGCCCAGCCCAACCCAGCCAGTAGTCTAGTTCGCCGGGAAGGGGGGGGAGGGGGGAGGAAAAGCGATACGACGGACTAGACTTTAGCCCCTCGGCCCTGGCCCTCTCGAACTGATAATGGCAACTCATGACGTACGATGAACAGAAACAATCCTTTTAGGTAAAGAAGAGAATAATATCTCCGAGAAATAATATGTACATATGTACAGTACAGTTACACTAAATACATAGAACTCATTTCTTGCTTTGCTCGAGGATTTACTCCGTAAATACGGTACCAACCCAGTCCGAGTGGAGGGGTTCAATTGGACCTCGGAGATAACTTACTAACTAGACTACTAGTCAGTCGGCTGGAGTTCAAGGTTGCTGCATTGTCACATGCAAACATGCCACTCCCTCACTTCCGCGGAAAGAGAGGACGGCCAAAGATAAGTGAGCCGGTTCAATCTAATCTCGGTCTCCTGTACTGTAGCTCAGATAAGAAACCCAGGAACATGACGCCATATCGTGTTCGTTATCCCCTCCCCTCCTCTTCCCCTCCCCCTGAGTTATGAACAGGCTGTAAGTCACTGTACATGTACCTGATTGTTGGTTTTATCGGTGGTGTGGCCTTGAAAAGGGAAGGAGAAGAGGAGGAGGTGAAGCCTAGTGGTGGAGGTTGGGCCGGAACCTGAACCACGAAAGAAGTCTGGTTTGTCTGTGCCTGCCTGCACTTTCTCGTTCCTTGTACCGCAGTAGTGTACGGACTACCCTGCCAAACCAATTATAGTAAATATCGTACCCATCCTACACAGTACGGAGGTACCTGTGACGTAGCTGGCAGAGCCCGTCCTTGTCCTTGGCTTGCGGTCCGTTCCGTGATATCCGTTGCTGTCAGTGCCGCCCATCCACCTCCACCAATGGTCTACGCTCGGTGACCTACGTGAAGTACTGTTACTGTTACTGTTACTGTAAGTTTTACGTACAGGTTCTATCGATGCGAATATGGACTGATGACAGCAGGTACGAGGAGCAGGGTTTCCGGGTACGTGCGTGGCTTCATTAGCCTTGTTTTTTTCTTTGTAGAGTTTGTGCTTCTGTTCGACTTTGAGCAGCACTTCCCCCCCCCCCCCCCCCCCGCCCCTGGGGATTTATCCTTATCGGGTCTTCTAGGGAACCCAAACACCTTGGATTGGGTCATGTTCTCCGCCGTCTTCAACCCTTCAACCTCAACCTCTTAGTAAGCGGCAATCGAGAAAAAAAATACAAGGAATGTCTATACATGCGAAGAGCAACCCTCCGTAAGAACTAGGTACAGATCGAGCTCCCGCTCAATTTTCCCGTTGGGAACAACACCCTCGGTAACCCACTTGCCATCGGCACGGAGACCGACCCATCCGCGTTGACGGTCAGGGTGGTGCAGGTGAACACCTCGGTGACCTTGGTGCCGGCTGTGAATCCTGTCCCCGTCAGCGAGAGGGTGTACGTTTTGCCCCCGCTGCCTAGGTTGGAGAGCACCGTGATAATCTGCGTGCCATCAAACCCTTTCCGCATGGCCAACGTGGTGGTGTCGCTGTAGATTGGGTAGTTCTGCAGGCGGCATTGAGAAACACAGTTAGTTACGGAAAGAACCATGGGTAATTGTCAGAGTTTGAGGGCTGAGACGCACCTTGTAAGCCAAGTACTTCGCATCTTGGCTGATCGCGTGGCTGCGGATCTTGTTGGCCGTCGCTATCAAGGTGTAGAGGGGGCTGGTGGTGTTGTAGCCGGACAGCCAGGTGGCTTCGCGGTTGAGAGGGTCGTTGCCGCCGCTGTAATGCTGTTCCTGGCCCGCGTAGATGATGGGGATCCCGTCTGCGAGGATGGAGAATGTGGCCACATTTTTGGCTAGGGAGATGTCCTTTGTGTAGCTTTTTGAGAGAATGATGGGGTCAGCTGGGCTGTAGGGGTGGCTTGACGAGCTTGCTTAGAAAAAGTGATTGACTCGACTTACGAGGCGAAGCGTGGGTTATCGTGGTTCTCAATGAATGTTCCCAGCAAGGTGGAGTCTGGACAATTGTCTTTGACGGTGTTGATCATGTTGTATAAATCGCTGATGCTACCGCCTGTTGACTTGAATGCTCTAAGGAGAGGATAATACCTTTTGTGAGTTAGCATTTTCAGCCTCCGCTTCGAAAGTATGATGACCAAGGCTCATACATAGGATAATTCAGGACCCCGTCGAGATAGTTCTGATACGTACAGGTGTATGAGGCATCTCCGTCGAGCACCTCGCCAATACAATATACACCAGCGGCTTTGTTATAGCCCGGCCAGAAGTCTTTCTGGACGTGCTTGACTGTGTCAATGCGAAGGCCATCGACTGGGATTATCAGTCATCCACGTTTCATGCCGCAACGGATCTGGGATCAACATACTGGAGTAGTTGGAGACAAGCGACTTGACCCAGTCATACCACATCGTCTGTACGTCACTGCGGGTTGTGTCCAGATCAGGGAGCGAGACCTTGTTATCGCCCAGCCAGCAGTTCTGGACGTTGGTTTGGTTGTCGTAGTTGGTGATGGCACAGTAGGGATGGAAGTATTCTTTCTTGTTGAAGGGTTTGAATACACTATAGTCAACGGAATCACCTGCTCCGTCGTAACCCTAAATGAATCTCGTCAGCATTTACGATTCTGATAGCCTGCTCCCGCTAGCATGAAGGTCAACAAACCATGTGGTTGGCAACGACATCAACCATGAGGTACATGCCACGCGCGTGAAGAGCTGAGGCCAAAGCCTTGAGATCATCTGCAGTTCCATAATGGGAATTGAGGGAGTATCTTTCAGAATGGGTGAGCGCCTTCTCACATCAACGAGGGGCGAGAAGCTCACGCGTCTTGTTGCCAGTATCCATGGTAAGCCTGGCCGTAAGGGGTGTCTTGAGGGACTTGCTCCGTTACTGGAGTGATCCAAATGGCTGAAAATCCCATGCCCTGAATATAGTCGAGCTGATTGATGCCATCAGTAAAGTAAACGACATGTCAAGCCCACCAGAGGAGAGGTAAGGTAGTGAGCAGATTTACCTGGTTGATGATGCCGCGCCATGTTCCACCGCAGTATCTCTATGCACACATGTCAGCCTCACATGGCAAGCTACAACTTGGGCACCTGCCCAACATACCCCGATGCTTGTATCACAAGTAGCAGTGGCGGAATTGTCCGTACGAGCAAAACGGTCGGTGAGCAAGAAGTAGATGGATCGGGAGCGCCAATCAGCCGGAGTCGCAGCGAATGCGGTCGCCGCGACCGTGAGCAGTAATAAGAGAAGGTTCATGATGGTATTGTGTATAATAGCTGGCTCCATGGTGTTCCGTTGACTGAGCTGGATTGGCGAGCTTTATACTTCACCGAAACGTGCACTGCCGAGTCAAGTCAACCTGGAGTCTGTTTCACGATGGCCCATTCCAACACTGTAATTTGTGCCAGCCACGAAAGTGGATACGCAGTAGCTGACCTTTCTCTGGACCCTTCATTTCCTCCTGCAGGATTTCTAGGGAAAGGTTAGAGGTTAGAGATTAGAGTTGTGCCCGAGGACCTTTGATGAATGTTGGGGTCCAAATTCCTTGGTCTGATGGATGGATGGTTTGGTCAGGGGGTCGAGGGAATTCTCCCTGGGTAGCGGCAGGTGACTTCAGGGTTGTCCTTGTGCTTCCTTCCTCTTCTACCTGTTGGTATGTTTTTTCTTGGTTTTTCTTTGGGTCTTTCCGACTCGATCTATCAATGGTGCGACAATGTTCGACAATGTTATGGTTGGCAATTTTGTCCTCAGTCTCGGCGAAGAATGTCGGCGGATGGTCCGCCCGACCGCAGATCGCTCCTCATAAATATAATCTATTCAAAAGAACGCTGCTATACTCGCATCATAGACACATAAGCAGTCATTATTCACCGCCACACTACCACTCCAGAACCCAGTCCTCAGCCCATGCACCGCTTCTCGTTACATCCTGCAGATCGCCAACATGCAAAACATGCGACGTCGAGTTATATTGAACTTTCGACAGCTGTTTCCCATTGAGCTTTACCGATGAGGGTCTCTGTTTAACTCCAAGCACCGTCACATTCGCAAGTGGATTCTTTTCCGCCCAATCCCCCTTCGCCGAAACGTGCAGGCTCGAGCGCGACGCCGAAAATTCAACGTTTAGCGTCGCGTTGGGATCCACGCTCACCCCGTCATCAAGGTAGAGTTGTCCCGATGCAGCACCGTCGCTATCAAGCGCAGCTAGCAAGGACCAAGGGGACTTCCGAGCCTCACGAGTAGTCAATGCCGGCTCCTGAAGAGGAAGGATATTGCCACCGCGGACGTAGACTGGGATGTGGCCCAGTGGGGCCGAGATTGTCGTGTTCACGCCCGCCTCTGCATCGACAACCGTCTGTGTATACCAGTCATACCACACTCCTCCATGAGCCACTCCGGGAAAGACACCATTCACAGTATCGGCTTGCGGCTCGAGCACGGGTATGGCCATGATTGCAGGGCCAACGAGGAATTGAGTATCCACGCCAGCCAAAGTAGGATCATTGGGAAACTCCCAGGCGAGCGCACGCATGACCGTAGATCCAGTGCTGTGGGCGAGATGGAATAGGGTATAATAATAAGGCAATAAAGCATAACGAACTTGCATGGCAGTTTTGGAGGCCTCAATAACGGACGCCCATCGATATGGTTCTTGCGGGATGGCAGAGAGTACATTGTGGTTTCGGTAGAACGGGAAGAAGGCCGATAACTGCATCCAGCGATTGCAAAGCTCTTCGTCCGTATTCCCGTTGAATCCACAAGTATCGACTCCAAACATCGGGATGCCAAAGAGAGAGAAGGAAAGCGCCTGTGCGATTGAGAAATACATGGAGCCCCACTTCGAGATGTTGTCTCCGCCCCAGTGTCCAGCCCACTTGCCTGAACCAGCGAAAGTCGAGCGCCCAATGATGAAGGGACGGCGCTTGCCGGACCAGACCTTGAGCAGACCTTGGTAG